ACGTGAACCATAGAACTATAACAGCGTAGATTTTAATCGCATAGTAAAAGAGGCACGCGCCGAGCGATCATAATGCACTGGCTACCTATTCGTTATAAATCTCAACTTTTTATACACCACTAAACTGTTTTATTGCTTATTAACACGTGTTAAACGACTGAAGACTAAAACATTCATACAAAAGTCCGATCATTAACATTATAATGTATTACAGTTATACTGCCCCGCGGGTTTAACTTATAACTAATTGCCCATGCTTTCTCGAAGCTTTTGTTCATGCATTTTCCACCATGTAAGAAGTAATGATCAAGTTAAAATTTTATATCTGAATATAATAAAAATTATACTAACTAATTAAGTATTCAAATTATTTTCTCTTCTATAGTAAGTTAAGTAAAAGTATCAAAGACAATAGGAATGCTTCAATTTATTTAAACTCTTTTTCAGTAATGCTGAAACAAATTACGAAAATGGTTGAACAAAAGCTACAGCAATTTCTTTAAGTTACTCAACGTTCAAAATGCAGAAACTAGGTCGATTAATATAAAAACATAATGAACTGTTCAACACAGTATCAAATTTACATTAATAACCGGCGTAAATCAATTATTCGATTGATATAGTCAACGACTTTTAAATCGTAATAAAATGTACGAACGGCAGTCAATTTATTTATTGCCTTAAAGTTGTAAAACGATATTACACGCCATAATGACGTGTGTTATTGGCGTTTATTCTAACCATTTTACCATCAATGAGCACTTATAAAATGTTTATGATTATTATTTAATTAACACAAATTAGTGGCAACGAACAATAGTCGCGTGCCTCCCCACTGTCTATAAAACATTTATAAAAAGCAGCCGAGTTTTTGGAGATTTCATTCGATACGAATACGTTTATTTAGTACGAATTTTTTTTTACTAAATGGCCAACTACATGTTCAAAAATTCCCAACATGAAAATTATATAATTTTTTTTTATTTAACTACATAATAAATCATCCCCATTCGGTTTCATTACATACTAGTTTTGTACATAATTGCAATAAAGTCTTAGGAAACGAGTTCCCTATGTAAGCCAACAATGTGCTACAATTTAACACTGGCACCGGACCGTGTAAATTTGCCCTGATTTATTTATTGCTCACACGCAATATTAACAATGCAACGAATTTTAAAAGTGAAACGAAAAGGATTGTCTGTAAAAGGGTGTCCGAGCATTGTATGAGCGTCCTGTTATGCAAATGAGTACGCTGAAACCGAGAGTGTGACGCGACAATAGAGCAATATACGTTTTCATAAATTATCTGTGCGTTAGTTAAATTACGAACGTCTTTTGTTATAAAGAGGTTTCACTTTATCGTGTAAAATGCACAAAGCGTTCCGATATTTTAATGAGAGCAGGATTGTTAAAGCTAAGGGTAACATTTGCATAATGTTAATTTCTGGTCAAATATTTTGAGTTTTGTGGGAAACGAAAGTAATTGCATATTACGCTTTCATTATACTTTGAGCTTGAGTTGGGATCTAACGTTTACGACTTTTGTGAAGTTTGCGTGATTTTCGCGTTCGAGTTGTGATATCGAAGGATCACGCAAGGAATATACGTGAAAAGCGATCGTGTTATACATATCTCGATAAGTACGTTTACCAGTTGTTGTGATTTATATTCAGGTGCGTTCATGTTGTCGGATAGTTAAGTTTTTACGGTCACGATAGAGGGGCCGGGCGAGTGGAGCCGACGATTTGTTTATCGCTCGTAGCGGCGCGACGACAGCCGATGACGTGGTATCAACGCTGTTATGTGGATCTCTTTATGTAAGTGTCACCTTTAGTGCCCCATTTATTGCTTTTTGGTTGCGTTAAAGCGCTACAAACAACTATGACGGAAGGTATCTTCGATCTTAACATTTGGTAGGAAACTACGTGCATGTACATAGTTGGATTTGTGAAGTTAGATCCCAAACATTTTTAAGTATTTATACCTATTATAAAATGTAAGTTCAACATAATTTCAAATGTAATACAAAATAAAATATGAATTCGCAACAATCTTCAATCTTTAAAACAGTCAGAAAATTCGAATTTTAAGTAGATGATAAATATTACATTTATCACACACTTTAGCAAATATTTGCCCCGAAGAAAAGTAAAAGGTAAATTTCAATTAACCATCTAAATAAAAGTTCATCACAAATGTTATCCGTTCTTAAATGGCAACTCTGACCGCAATTTGCCGCAAATCGAATCAAAGATGGCGTCGGTAACCGCACAGAGTGAAGTCATACAGGGAGTCCGTAATAAAATAGAAACGGTCCGGATCACAGGCTGTCCGGGCATGATTACTATGAATCACCATAAATCAAACCCGCAGTAGCCCGCAGGCTAACTCTAATTGCACTAGATCTCTCCCGGAGCCGCTATAAATCATACATTTCGGTTGTGTGCGGGTACAATTTTTGCTTTATAGGTCGGTTTTTGTGTCGTTAAATCCGACTGACTGAACTTTCGGGTCTGTTTGCAGGATTAACGACGAGGTTTTTATCTTTCAACGAAAATATTACTGACATCATTTAGGTTAATATAGATTTGTACAAATTCAGTTTTCAGAAGGACGAACGTAATGTCTACAAATTTTATTATTACAGTTACCTATATGAACAAATTATTACACCTCTTGTATGTCCTAAGATAACCTATGAAGATTAGATTGATTAAAGTTAAACTTAAAAATGATTAAAACTCTGGTATGTAAAGTCTTCAATTTCTTGTTAAATTAACTGTGTGTTCTGATGGACAGCAATCAATATAAGCTAGGTCGTTGCTTCACACGTATAGAGTCATTTGGAGAGTTAATCCATCGTAATTGACTCTCGCTGAGAGAGCAATAAATGGTCATCGAGAGTGCCGATAAACTCTCTCAATTAATACAATGGCTTGTCTCTATAAATCTGTGGTAAGTTGAACCACTTTGCTCTTATTTAGGTTCCGTAATTCGATGCTTAGGAATCCATACTTTTCTTTTCCAATTTATGTTTAAATATTTGGTAATTACTTAAATTACGAATTTAACACTGTTCCAATTAAAGATCTTTGTTCTTGAAAAAAGTCGAGTTGTTTTTAAAACAAATATTACAATTAAAACGTTAGTTATTTGTCACAATATATTTTAAAGACAGATATTATCTTGGGGGCTTCAGTTCTGTAAAACAACGGCGACGGTCTTGGACCGTAAATAAGACTGGCATTTTGTGAACCTCGCCTAGTATTTTACGTGCATTGGCAAATACTTACGTACAATGCGACAATAAACCGGGTCGATAGCGAAACGTGCGAATTTAAGGTCACCGGTTAGCGAAAATAAAGCTTTACGACATTAACGTAACGGTTTAATATCGTTTGCGAAGTTATTTCGTCTTGGACTTTAAAAGACGCCACGCCAGCAATGGCGACTCACGATTTGAAAACAGATTTATGATCGGCCACGATAACGGGCCTGCGATAAAAATTTTGCCATACCAAGAAGCACATATAGTTATATACTTTAAGTATGTACAAACAGTCATATTACATACATGACAAATGCTAACTCATATCACAACATATATGTGTATAAGTATATGAAAAGGCGTAGAGTGAACGTGGCACACGATGCTATATCGAGATCACGAGTTTTAGTCGTGAAGATATTGCATTTTATAGCTTTCCAGTCACGCATCTGAAGGTCTAATTAACAAGTTGTTCGTGTTCGAATACACTGGAAATATTCGTATGGCACAAAGGATAAAATTATCCCTCGATATTTTATGCGTCATCATAGCAGCAACTGTTCTCAATCGTATTTGTAAATGATTTAAGACTTAATTGTATGGAAAATGAACAAGCAGAGAATAAAGAACATAACTGGCATACACACAAAATCTTACTATCCTACTATTACTATATTACTTTATCTATTTTATACTATATACTTATCTTAGTAATATTTATTTTAAAAGCGAATGTTTAGATGGATAGATGGATGTTTGTTTGAAGGTATCTCCAGAACGGCTGCACGGATCTTGCTGAAATTTTGCATAGATGTAAACCACAGTCTGGAAGAACACATAGGCTACAATTTTCTTCCGCGACGTAGCAGCGGGCGATAGCTAGTAATATCTTAAAATGATATGTTACACATTTTCTTTAATCAACATGTGCATTGCACATTTTTATAATACCACAGCCGCATTGCTGATTTAATAGATACTAAATCTTGTGGCGACCTTTTTCAGTCAGTTGATATTTTCACAATCAAACGTTTATTTTCACAGATGGCGATGCCCCACCGCGCCACGCTGGTGAACAATAAATTTTAATACTTAGACTATGAATCGTCTGAACGATCTAGACTTTTATTATTCTAAAGTATAAGAGGAAAATAAATTAAAATTTTAAAGTAGGTATAGGTAGCTACGTTTGAAACATTTGGTACCTATTATAAAATGAACATTTAAGTGAATATTTGGTATATTTAAAAGCTTTTTTTAGCTTAAATCTAAATACATATATTTCAAACTCATATGCATATCGAATAGATACGGATTATATTGTATATTAATGCGATATTTAAATAATTAACATTTCCAGATTCCAGAAAATCTCTATCTTATCTAATAAAATAGATTTCTATTCAAGTTTTTATTTAAATAATATTTAGTAACAAAATTTTAATCATAACGGTAACTTCAATTTAAAATAGATTGGCTTCTACTTTATATCTCTATTTGTTTATATCTCACATAATTTGTATAACTACCAGAAACATTTGAAAAAATATATTATAAAATAAAACTATTGAATAAAATTCTACACAGTAAATAATTATTTAATACTTCATAAAATTAAATTTACGATTGCACATTAGTAATAATTTGGATAACCGTTTTCAATATTTGTTTTTTATCTGTGGAGTTACAACACGTGCTAGTTTATTAAATGAAGTTAAAAAATACTTACATTAATTTACAATATCCTTGAGGCAACACAGCATAGTCATTTTATTTAATTATTTTACAGGCAATTTCAAAAGGTCACGGAATTAACCATTTAACCGAACAAAATAGCTCTTGTTAAAGAGATATTTATGTAACAAAATGTTTTAGTAAACACATTCTTCGTAAAATATTATCGTAAAAGTTTTCCACGCTTAATTCTTTAAAAAAAAATACGAGTGTCAAGAAACATCCGCCATGTTGCGGGGCAGCGTGCGCGCGCGCGCTCTAACGCGAAATTACGTGCTGCGCGCGCACCCACTGGCGGGTGTAAAAATAAAATAAACTTAAAACAACGTCATTTGTGCACGTGTGTGCGAGCCGATATTTATTTATAGGCTAGTAGCTATGTAAATATAATCAAAGAAGTCCAGCCCGACGCTCCTTGCGGTCGACGCAACGTCTTAATTCGTCCACCAGCCCTACTCGTACCTACACCACACAACACCACACCCAGTTTTTGTTGATTTGTTTTGACTTTACATAAAAATATAGTTATAGGTACAGTTAAATAATATTACTGTTTTTCATTTGGTATCTTTAAATTCAATAAACGTATGACCACATCGTTGCTGTAGTCACTCTTCGTAAAGTTAAATAGGTTCTCGTAATTTGTTGCTTTTAAGCGGATTTATTACGTTTTTTGATTTCTAACTACATTAATTAGTTTGTAATTATAAATCCTTGCTAGGTTAATTAATCTTAAGTCAATGTGAGATTGTAACGGTTCTTTTTCAACTTTTTAATTTCTCTTTTTAAGAAAAGTTCGTAAAGTGCAATAAATACTTATTTTAATGTGACATTGACAAATTCTATAAGGGCTGAGCTTTTATACTTTCTTCTAGACATAGTACAAAATAATAAGAAAATAAATTTATATTTGAGTTGGTATTTAAATAATATGAGGTTTGTTTTATAAATATAAAAGCGTTTATAAGGCTTAGCGCAGCGCAGCGCGGGATTAAGCCGGTCGGGATATTGCGGAGCGTTATTTGAGAGCGGCGCGGGCGGCCGGTCGACGACCCGAACCCCACGCCTGTTTGCCGCATAGGGTTGTCGATTATACCAGAAAGATAATTACATTCCATTATATATTAAAAGTATGTGCAATAGACGATCTGCTATATCTATCAACGAAAATGTGTGTATTTAAACATAAAACGATGTAGAGACACGGAGTCTTTTCGCAAAATGAACTGACGCGTAATAGTTCCCTCAAAATAGTTTGCGTTTCAAAGCTGATTTGGAGATTGTGAAACACTATCGACGACTTTATGTCACAAATAATTTCCAAGTCGCTTATTTAGGACTTATTTCAACAGCGTGAAATCTGCCTTTAGTGAAATAGAAGACCTTATATGACAGCTTTTGTGAAAGGGAACAAAACTTAAGTAGGTATAGATACATCTTAAGCTACGACTCGACGAATCATAAATAATATCCTTCATACTTCCCTTAATATATCTTATAAGGATGATTATTATTTTTTTTTTAAAAATGCAGAAATTGCTCATTTGATGGCCCTGTGAAAAATCCATGCGGACGCTTTTTAATTTTACTTCGCAGCTGACAGACGCCTGTATAAACACGCCCTTAAACATAATATAGAAACAGCCGTTACTTCGTTTACACGGAGATATTGCTTACCTACGAAACTAATTATTTTTGACCAATAATAAGTACGTTATACACGAGTAATTATCAAAGAAAAAAGTGAAATTTAATTGCTTTTCTCCAAATTACTTGTAAGTTTCAGTTGATTTGATGTGTTTATATCAATTCTGCAGTTTATGACAAAACCATGATGTTATATTTTTATGCCGGGTCGGGGAATTAAGTAACCTAAAATATTTATACGTAAAGCTTACCACCGAGATCTATATCGTTAGGTCGTAAAATTTTCGTTTGTGGAAACAAAATAATTACCTACTAAGCGGATTTTATATTTAGAAAAAAATTATAACAACTTAATCGTTTCCTTAAAATTGATCAAGCTGATAGCGTTTCAGTGTGTAATTTATTGTTGGCGATCTAAGATCTAAAAGACAAGAAAAAAGAACATTTATCTTAATATCAATTCCTAGTCGTAAGCATCCCTTACGTCCCTTACCTATGTAGATTGAAGACAAAGTTCCCCTTCGCAGAAGCAACCCCCGCCCCTTTAAAAACAATAAATATGTCAGTGGGGGATATTACACGGCGTTAAGACGAGGCCTGTGTCTTCAACTAAATTATTGCTTAGGAAGTTTTCCTGATGAGTTCTCTCCTACAAAATAATTTTCTTATTTCTTATATCTTTTTTGTTGGATTAATTTAGTTTTTACGTGGTTGGATGAGTTGTTTATATTCATTATAATTTGATAAACTATTACAGCGTTTGCTAGTCTTATCAGTATTGTTATGAACATAATATTTAAACTATATATTAGTACAAAAGCCAATCCCAATAAAAGTGGTTAACATCAAACTGCATTTATAAATATTAACATATCATTATTTTTTAGACTATGGTTAATATATTAATAAGATAATTCGAATAATAATTGTTCACGATTTAATTTATAGAAAAAAGACTACTATTATACATGAGGATACAAAATTAATGTAATTAAAGAAATTTTAATAAAACTGCCATTTAACCACCGTTATCAATATCTTACGATAACATTTCAGCAGGTTGCTTGAATTAAAATTACCCTAATTGAATTTATAATCTAAGTAAAGCGATACATAATAAAATTAAAATTATCATAATTTTATTTACAATCTACTTATCGTAACAGATAACGTTGGAGAAGCACACATAAAAAGGATGTCCCATATATTAGTCAGACTTAGTAAAAAAACTTTTAGATACATTGTTACAATGCGTCGGTTCTTACAAAGCAAACAAAACGGCTTCGCAAAAAGTCAGGAAAAAGCGAAGCAAGGAAAAACAACGACATCCATAAAAGAAAGAGCAAAGTCGGGACCTCGCTCGCTCGGCCGCCATTGGCTCCCAACGCGCGCGCCGCCCGCCACCCGCCTCTCCCCGCCGACCGTAACTCACTCTTCACTTGTTTTACAGCCGCCATTTTGTGACGTTCGCCCGAGGCAGCCCGCTCCTATGCAATACTTCCCAAACTTTTACGATACTTTTGATGTTAACTTTATTTTGGCTTAAAATTGAAGTTTCTGTAAGACGAAAGCTAAGAATTTCCTAAATGACATCGAAGTAGATGAATAATAAGTTGATAAAAGCTGGCCCTAATATAACGGATTGACAAACTGATCTGATTATTTTACAAAAAAAAATCTGTGAAAATCTGCGTTTATTGGAAAATTATAAAAATTGAATTTAGAAAGGTGGTTTGCTATTATTATATGTTTTTAATATAACTATGTAACACATAAAAATATAGCAGTTTGAGAAACGTTGACCCAGTCCGTACTCCTCGACCGGGACCGGACCGCTTTGCGTGTGTGCGTGACTCGTGTATTTATATTATACATGTAGTAATGATGTCATGTTGTAAGGTAAGTATTTTTCGTAAAAATATTCACAAAAAATCCAAAGAAACAAAAACATTTTAGGTAAGTGTAGTCACGTATATAGTTCTTTTTCAATTATTTAGACAATTTAGACACCGTAATTCAATCGTTTAATTAAGACTAAATTTTATATACAGTACGATTTAAATAATTGAGCTTCTAAATAATTTACAATAAAATATTGTGTGTAAGTTATATAAATTAAGAGAAGAATATTTATTATTCCACGGTAAAGTAAATTTTTCCAATGCAGAATTTCCTCTCTTGCGACGACGTATCTTTACTTACCTACTCATTAACTCTAGTCGTAATTTAACAAAGGTTCACATCCATACATGCATGAGGGGAATAATGATTCCATCTCCTCTACCTTTACGTCTTAATTACAGTTGTTACAATCAGAACTCATTAAAGTTAGAGTAGCCAAATTGAATGACAAATATTAAATGATGTTGGAAAACACTACATTTTCTAATAATCTTTTAAAGAACAATATTGATTTAAAGCCAACCTCTCAGAAGACGAAAAAAAAATAGTTTGGATATTCAAATAAACAATGAATATCTAAAACAAGAGCTTCGTTTAAAAGACAACACGTACACTTATGTACATATTTTATTGACATGTTTTTGCACTTAATAATTGTTCTAAAGTAAATAAACATCAATTCGAAAGTACTTAAAAGGTTAAAATGAGAGCGCGGGGTTTCACATTTTATAGAGATCGTTTATAGCGGTAAAGCGACTGTAAACTTTGGGTGTCGAACCACTTAACCCTTGCTTATGCTTATACACTAGGCCCATGGTCCTATATACATATTTAGAGTATATGACCTTCCAAAACATTCGCTTGGATGAACCAAAAATATCCATTCTTTTGCCCGAATACCAAAATTCACTTGACGTCTTGAAAATTACTCGTATTAAAATAAAGATTTAAAGTGGTGATGTTTTTGATTTTTTTTATTATAAACTAATATTTTAATAAACATATCCTAAATGAAACCTTATAAAAATAATAAAAAACACTCAATTCTTGGAACGGAATGTAATTTTAAAACGTCGGGAAAAATAAAAGGTATGAATTATATTCTTCCAATTAAGTTATAAATTAGCCTGGACATAAACTTAATGATATAGGTACGGAAAGTAGGTTTAATTTTTTTTGGTATTATAATGCGAGATATCCTGTCATCATATTTTTATTGTTTTAATAACTTAAATTAAAAGGCAGATTTAAATGTTGTTAATGGAAAAGTATATACTTCGAAGATTCAAATAATTTATGTTAATTAAAATTTTAAAATCAAATCTCAGTAACATTTATGGTATGTCTATTTTCATAAATAATTTCAGAGACATGCCCAAAAATGTTGTAGCAACAGCCATGACTTGACAAAAATCGCGCCGGGTACTAGCCATGGTGTAAGAGGGTTAACGTATATTTAAGCTAAATGTATTTGAAACATCGTTAAAGAATTTATTTTAAGGCCCTGAACTTATGCTTAGGGTAAATTATATCTTAGTTGTATGAGATTCATAAAATCTATTTCTTTTGGCTAAATTAACCCAAAACATTATTTAGAGCCTGAT